GCAATTAGTATTTCTATTTCTGAAAATATGTCCAATTATTTAAGCACCCATGTTAATATCAGCCACTTTCTTTAAAAAATATTAAAATTAATGTCATCACAAATATAAACCTCATTGTAAAGGTTTAAGAAAAGTTGTAAAAAGAAACAGAATGCATATGTATATTATTGCCATATTGTAGGGTACATTAAACAAATTATCCTCTGGGAAAAAGATATACTGTTACCAGAAAAATATTTTAACTACAAAAGATTTTATGTCAACATGAATCATATCTAATAATATGTGTCTCATAGCTAATACTCAGCTTTTCATATTAGAAAAGCTTTTTACATTCTTTCTCATAAAATTTGTATACCACATTACTTTGCTTTATATAGAGGAATGGTTTATGTGTCCATTTGTTGGGGGATGCGCCCTGCATGAGCCCCTTGAGAAAGTTAAATAAACCCTAAATGAGGGCGTGGAAGCCGTGTATCCAGCAGGCTTCTGACTGAGTCACTCAGCGTGAGTCCACCGTTTTCTCTTTACTTTGTTCTTTAGATGGTATATTCCCCAAATATTCTCAGAGTGCTTACTAAATCTTGATGAGAAAAAGAACTTTAGGAATAATTTACACTTCTGAAGCATTTCCCAATAGTTCACAAAGGTATATTGTTTCATTTGATTTTCCTCAGTTCCTGAGAAAACCAGTGCAGCTGTTATCTGAAAAGAAAATGACTTTCCCATAATTGCAGGGCCTGGAATGTGCTGAATTAAGGCTAGAACTCAGGTCTTCTTATTCTGTGTGCAGTGGTTTTCTATGAGAGAAAAGGGGGATGCATGCATCTAAAGGAAAACTAGTACTTAGAAAACTTGCCATAGCTATGGAAAATGTTGATATCCAACTGTTGAAGGAGTGAATACCACTTAAAGAAATATTCCTCTTGGCTAAGAGTGCAATTACAGTGTTCTTTAACAGATAACATTTATCAAACACAATGTGCCAGACACACTGCTGTAAGCTTTATTTGCATTAACACAATGAAGCTGTGACAGAAACTCTGAGCAATAGAGTAATTTTCCCAAGTTCAAAACTTAATAAGTGGTAGAGCAGGGGTTCAGACAATTTTTTGTCATTCCAGAACCTTTATGTACTCTTCTCACTGTCTTCCTCCATAGTCTTTTCCCATTTCCTTTTCTAATTTCTTTGACGGGGGGTAGGAGGGAGAGGGGAAGGAGGAGCATTGTCAGGCACAAAGGAGAAAGGAAGGAAGCCTTGGTGCATCCATTAGCTCCCCCAGAAATCATCTGCTGCATTACTACCTAGCTCAGCTCTGGGAATGCCCGTAGTAGATTTCCAAGTGGACTTGGGGAAAACTTTTAAGAATGTCAAGTGCTAGTTTCGAGACATGAGTAAAGTGCTATTGAAGCATAACTAAACAATGTCAGAACTAAGGAAGCCCAGGGAGCGTCCAGAAAAGGCTTTACCAAGGAGAAGTTTTTTGAGCTGTGTATCAAAGTATCTTTCCAGGCAAAAGAGAAAGAGCATCTGCAGCAGATCAGCAGGCTGGGTAGGGGAGGACCCCCACGTCCAGGGAAATGTGAGATTAGTGTTGCAGAAGCCCAGGATGCAGTCCTGGGAGGTGAAATCATGCTCTGAGAGACCTTCTCTGTTGAAATAAGAAACTGGACTTTTTCTCAGGGCAAGAACCAGCAGACACTTTGCATAGCAGTTAAATGAGCTTTCCATTACTAGGAAGTCTTAACTGGCAGTTATGCTGGATGAGCAGGGCACTTAGTCACAGTAAAAGCCAATAAAAGAGCTGGACTTGTGAAATGACAACATTCCCTGTATTATTTCAAAGTCATAGAAAAAAGTTACAAAATCTAGCAACTGCTTTAACGGGACTATGTGGCCAAGATGTAAATGACTTGGCCATGTTGCTGGTCTCACAAAGAGTGAACATACAACCTCTTACTTAACTGCTTCACATATTCATTCATTCAACAAATATTTATTGAAGTCTCATTATTGGCATGCGTTGTGCTAGATGCACAATGCTTGAAGCATTGTGTTAATCACTGGTTGTGGGGAAGTTTATTTGAAGCCACGTATAACAATTTGTTCATAAAGCCAAAGCAAACATCAAAGAAAAGACAGGACATTAAGCAAGTGTCAAAGAAAACAAGAAAAGAGAGAGGAACTCCTGAGAGAGAAAGTGAAAATGAGGTTTAAGCTTAAAGAAGCAAGAATCTGCTGTAAGTAACCGTTTCATTAAAAGTGCACTAAATTGCGAAGGTTCTCTCAGGAACTGTGTACTGTGGGCTGAGATTAAGTGTAATGGGCTCCCACATGAATTCTTCTCATTATTTCTCTTGAAAGATCAGTAAATCTACTGAAAGGGTAATTTAGGTTTAATGTTCACAATTCATTCACTTTACTTTTAATCTTCTCTATTTAAAATTATAAAAATATAATGCAGGTATAATCCAAAAGAAAAAGGATGGGCTCAAAATGAGATTATTTCAATTCCTTGAATAGTCTTGGTATTGACCGATACGCAGTAAACTGTAGACTTTTTATTCCTGATAGATGGTGATAGAGCTTCAGCCATTTAATAGGGCATTGTACACTATTAATTGCAGGAGCCAAGTAAAGGACAACATAAGAATGATAATATGTACCTCACCCTCCTGAATTCCTCGGACCTTGATGAGATTTTTAAAGAAGACTCTTAATCCCATTAAGCTCTTCCTTCAATACAATTTAACATAAAGAACAAAGGTTCAGGGACTTTTGTCCATGACAAAAATAAAATAATATTTTGGAAGAAAAGGGCTTGGAAAATAAGACAATTATTTAATCACAAGAATATGATTTTACAAAATATTTTTCAAAAATGTGAGCCTGAATAATGACTTACAATCATTACTTTTTCTGCTGTTAAACTACCTCCTGTTTGTGATATTGAAAAACAAACAAGTAAAACAACAACAACAAAACAAACAGAAAACACCAAGCTCAGTCTTTCAGAAACACATTTCAGGAAATAACAAAGTCCTCTTTGATTTTCTAGGCCTCTCTTTGGCTTTTCCATTAGACATTGAACCCATTCTGGACATTGCCTCTCCTTGGCTTTTCCATTAGACATTGAACCCAATCTGCACATTGATTCCTGATTAATTTAACTGTACATCATTAGGTGAACTTCTTAGGAATTTAGGGAGAAAGATTTTCACACCTAAGATGGGCCCCTACTGCATAAAATGGTAAATATGTTAAAGCTCATTTATACCCTATTAAATTATGTTGATTTGAAGCTAAATTATGGCTTATAATGTTTATGGTTTGCTTTTCTTTCCCCATATTAAATCAAAAGGTATTAAAGTGTAAACTTTCTTTTCAGACTTGAAAGAAGATGAGAAAGAAGTAGAGATAAGAAAATGAAATTTAAGAGCAGCAATTTATACTACAGAAATTAGCAGTGTAGGATGTTTTCTGAACAAATATCACATTCCTTGAAATAATTATGTTATGACATTTTAATGCATTCTCACCATGAAGCATTATCTTGTAAATGACTAAACCAGATCATGTCCTAACAATTATTTCATGAGAGAAAATTTCAATACCCTTAGAAGTTCTTATCATAAAACTATTAGAATGGGGGGAAAAAATGCCAGAATGAAGTACCACAAAGAAATGTTCTAAAACATATTACGGTTAAGTAACTCACTTTTATAAGGAATGAATGCTAAGGGGTAAACACAAAATTTCTAGAAATTCCTCTCATTTTCGTGATTTTCACACAACTCATTCATCTATTTCAAAATAAATGTAAGCAACTAATCTTTTAAATAATCATCAGAATACTTCCCTCTAACATCAAGTGCATTATTTTTTAAGATAATTCAACCATTCATCAAAAATTAAAAAGTAAACCGGGATACTTCCCTATATCTTGCTTTATACATTCTTTCATGTGCTCAACTACTGTTGGAGAGAAGTGAGTTCTTTGAATTTGTCATTTCAAGCTGCATGCATCTACTCCCATTCCAGTCAATTGTTTTTGATTGCAACACGGAAACTGAAAAGCATATTGGAGTTTTGCTATGTCATTATCTGAAAAAAAAACTAAAACAAACAAAAAAATCAACCTTGTGTGTGAGTGATTGTTAATCCAGATCTTTACATATTCACAAAAAAGGAAAGACAATATTAAGTAATGAGAAGTTTGTACCAGTCATTCTACAGTGTAGAGAGGTAGAATCATCACTGATCCCATGAACAGATACATCTAAAAGATTCCCTCCCTGGTGTTTATGGATCTATTTAACTGCATTTGTCCTTCAGCTATGTTCTAATCAGCTTGCTCCCAACAAAAATCAAGTGTTTTGAGCCCCTTTTGTGTTTTGTAACTTCAGTGATTAACAGAGACAGGCTGCCCCTGCTCCCTGATAGCAGTCTTTACAGGAGGAATAAAGCTTTGTCCATAAAGAAACTTGGCTTGGGGATCAGCGGTCATTTACCTAAGCACTACCTTGTGCTGTTGCCCATGGTGTACTTACAAAGGAATCATTCAGTAAAGCCACACAGATAATATTTTGAGTGCTATCTTCTGATAATTAATTTTCACAAGTTGCTATTCCTTTCAATACTATTTTCTTGCCACAAAAATAGGCCTGTATCTGAATGGCAAAGCAGTCATTTTGCTCACTAATTATTTTTCCTTTTTTTTGAAGATATGAATTTGTGTGCATATTTAAATATTTATTAGATATTATAGCTGCTAAATCATTATGTGCAATATTAAATGTTCAAACCCTTTATCAGCAATTGTTGAAACATAGCTTCCATGTGTTTCTTGAAATAGGGCATGTTTGATTTCTGAATTGTTGTCATATAAATTGTAATGCCAAAAAAGGGCCCTTTGACTGAATATGAAAAGTTCCCCTTAAACCACCTTGAACTAGGCAGATTTGCAACATTTTAAACTGGCACTTCATCCCTCTTTCAGCAAGCATCCTCTGCAGATTTAATGATCAGGAACATCCTTCTGATGCATGCTGGGAGATATGGCTGCAGGGTACAGACCACAGCAGACAGTGTGTCAGATGAGGCAGAACTTCTTGTTAGGGGTGAGTATGCTAATAGTGCAGTCTGAAGACATGATCACCATAAATTATCATACAAAGAAATTTAAATGCATGGACTTTGAGCACATCAGTAGAGTGCATTTTACTTTCAATTTTACAATATATGTCATTTTTGCTTAACTTTTGCTTTTGAAAATATTACATGGAAAACTGCAACAGACAAAACCAACAGATCCAACTTCAGGGTTCATAACACCTTTAGTAATAAGTGGTTACTGAGTGTTTAATCAACTTAATGCCAAACAGAAATTTTAAACAGTTGAGCCGCAAAGACTCTTGGACTACAGAGATAAAATTTGTTTGTGTGTCTATGTGTTTTTCAAATGCAAAGCCAGTGGAGCCCCTAGGCATGTTTTTTCCTCCACTAACTTCTAAATTCTGCTTCCAAAAACAGGGAAACAGCATGCCTAATTTGGTGGCATTTACAACTGTTAAGGAATAGGGATGTTTTTTAAGTTTGAAAATGTCAACACACCATCTTTCTGTGCAAAAATGACAGTTAAGTAGGTTCTAACTATGAACCAGGCTGTCAGACTGTATTACCCTATAAAGCTACATATTTTTTGAATTAAGTGAATAACAACAGCACCAATTTCTTTTAGCATGTTATTTCTCAGCATGGGAAATGCAGTTCCTAGCATGCACTTCCTTCCTCCCTCCCTCCCTCCCTCCCTCCCTCATTTCCTTCCTTCCTTCCTTCCTTCCTTCCTTTTCTTCTTTCTTTCTTTCTTTTCCCTTTCTTCTTCTCTTTTTCCTTTAGCTTCTTATTGATACTGTACAAAGTAGCCAGAGAAAAATTTACAAAATATAAGTGCACAGGTGCACAACTCAAAGAAAAATTACAAAGTGAATACACCACAAAACTACCATTCAAGACAAACACTAGAACATACTATAATCCAACCTAGTGCCTCCCCCTTTTGATATTAAACAATTACATTTTGTGTGGTACAAGTATTGCATGCTAAAATGCCTTGCATAATCTCTGCAAATAAAAATCTCACATTCCTTAGCAGAAACATGTGTTTTAGATTATCTTGTCTTTTATTCATTTGGAATGTTTTCCAATTATAATTTTTTAAAGAATTTACCAGTAGTATAAAAATCTTGAGCAGGAAATATAAGGCATGTAATTAGCTTCATCATCTCTTCATTTTAGTTGTATGTTTCATCTAAGGTGCATTGATTTTTGATAGTACATCCACCATTGGTCCAAGTAAACTGTTGTTTTGAAGTAAGTGTGTATCTGGGTGAGTGGCAGCTTCTTCATTTTGTGTGTGTTTATTTCTGTTCAGAAGATTGTTTAAACTTTTCTACAAATTAATATCAAGGCTGTATGTCTGTATTACCTATTATAAAACATCATTTTTTAAGGACTTATTCTCTCATGATATTCCATTTAGCTAAAAATTTTGCTGTATGCCTTTTGAAGTTACAAGTCTCGTGGAACTGCAAACCCCACACTGCAGTCAAATTTATAGAAAATTGCTTCCTTCTTATGCTGCAGACTGTTTCAGGTTATTTGTATTTATTGTGTAGCACTTGCCAGTAATTCAGAATGATGCTCCAAAAATGGGAGCTTTCCAAATGAATAATACAGCTCAGAGGCTGATAACGAGACACTAGGTATTTTTTACAGGACTGTGAGGGGCAAATTTAAGTGGCAAACTAACATTCTGCTTTGTGAGTAAAATTAAACTCAACAGAGTTTAGAACATAATTCAAGTTCAGCTTTTTCGTGTTCTCCTCTTTTAGCCTTTGGCTTTATGCCTGGGGAGATGATAAAATGCATAAATTTTGGAATTATACTCAAGAGCAATTTCAAACAGGTTGCTATTGTCTGAATATTCATGTAACATTCAGCTCAAACTTTCATTTGAAGTGAGTTTGATCAAGTTGCCAATTTCCTATTATATATTTGCATTACTTTTCTAAAATTAGTAAAAATAGCTTGCCTTTCTGCTTGGTTGGTCTTAAACAGATTTAAAAACTGAACTAAGTGCTCTGGTTCTTTTTATTTTTACTATTCTTTAAAGAACTCCTGGTAATTGAAGGAACTTGGATGCTTGTATATTGCTGCTTTTAATGTTAGCCTGTTAAATAAAACTCAAAGTAGTTTTACCCTTCCATTTCTTCTCCCACTCCTTCATTCGTTGGTTGTAAAGTTGAGGCATTCTAATAGCTCAGGCCCCACGGGGCCAAACCTGAGCTTTCAATGTAGACTTTTTCTAGTGATGGCTACAATTCTAGCAGCAGAATTCCTGAAGCACTCTTGTTTAAGCATACGTGACATTAAAATGGGACTGATAAAGACCACTCTGCCGTTCGGCTTCTTGTAGAATACCATCATTGAAATGTCTGACCAGCCCACTTTCATCAAGGTGGAGAATGAGGGACATTTTTGTGTGGCACAGAGTATGTTTTTATAACTCTGTAATTGTATTTCAGTGGAAATTAGGAAGCTAAAAATCTCTTTTCTCCTACATTGATGAAGTTACTTTTTTACCATCTCCTTTCCCATTAGAGATGTCTATGAAATTCTTTTGTTCACCTTGCCAAATCCTATGATTCTTTACCTGGCCCCCCAAGCACAACATATTGGAGCTCAGATGTATGGCCCTAAGACCTCACCGTCACCTATTTAGAATCTGAGCGTTCCTGATTAGTCATGCTCCCTACTTCTTCTCCCATTCACTCCTTTAAAGCTGCCATACCCCTGAATGCTTGTTTCCACTATTGTTTTACTTTGCTTGTGAATGTCACCACCTCTATTCCACCCTCACACTCCAAAAATTGAATTTTTCCATAAATAATCACCTGAAGCATAAAATTGCTTGCTCTCATATATTTAATATTCAGTGAACCAGCATTATAACAGCCCCATGCATAATTTGGAGAACCATAATAGAAGTAATGAATATGTTAAAAGAAATTATTATCCTGGAATATAAAAAGAAATTAAATCCACACCTGAACATCTGTGCACAATTTAAGTCACTTATTCAAGTGTGATATAGCAACAATAGAGAAAGTATGACAAGGCTATGGATAGAACTGTATGATATTATTCAGGGTAAAAGAGATAGACCATTAAGAGATAACTTCACTGAGAGGGATACAAAATTTATGAAGAACTGTTACTTCCAAACAATATGAGAAGTGATCAAATACATTATAAAAGACCTCAAAGAGAGGAATGTTTATTTTATTTTATTTTACAAAAATTAACATTAGAAATATGTTTCCCAAAGTGAATATAAGGGTAGAAAACTATCATGGTTTAAATAATAAATGTGTTTAGCTAAGCTAAAGTAACTGGGAACCAGAGCATGAATTCTGTCAATTCTGCCCAAAGGCAAAGGAAACGATAAATATTTTGCTTCTTCTTACAAGTTTTTTTAATTCATATTACTCTGCTTCATAATGCAAAACAGTAGATCAAGGAACTCTTGGGACAGTCAAAGAAGAATCAATAATTTCTTGATTCCTCCTGAATGCACAGCCTATACATCCTCTTTCCTCTAAATTTGGACAATTTTCATCTCTTGAATTACAACTTCCAGGATGAATCTGATGTGTATGAAATTGAATTTGAGAAGATAGAATCCATCACAAGATGTAACTTTGTTGAGAGATATCCAACTGCTTTTAACCATTCATTTCTCCTCTCATCAATTATTTTGTATTCACCCTGGAGTACAACCTGTCTTTCAATATTACTATTTTAAACTTTCCATCAATTCAGTTTTATTCTTTCCAAGAAAGATTTTTTTCCTTGAATATTTTACCTTTAATCTCTCCCAATTCACTAAGTCACTTTTCATGACAGAACTGAAACTTAAAGTTTGTATGTTTTGTCAATTAAAGACGTCAAAAGGTATTTGTAAATAACTTGGCTACTGATTAATTCACTGACCTGTTCATTAGGCACCTGCTCTGTACCAAGCACTGAGCTTAGCACTTGGAGGCTCTGTACCCACTAGTCTACTGGTGTGAGAGGTGACCTTGCAAAAAAGGGTGAGGAGCACCAAAAAGAAAGTTCCTGGGTAACTTTAAGTCTTATAGGAGAAATAATGAAACACTAAGAAAAAAACAAGCAGAGCTACGGGACCAGCTATAATACACAATTTATGAGACCTGGCATAAAATGAAAATGCAGGGCCCTTCCTCAAAACTTGATAAGAATTTTAACACAGCGGCAGCAGAGCATTAATCCAAGCATGGGGACATTCTAAGGCAGGGGCCCTCTGCCAGCCTCGCATAGCTATCAAAGTATGTATTAATATGTAGGAACAAAAGGACTTTTGTAAAAGGAGGGAATCCATTACAGCAAAATTGTCAAAATCAGTTTTATCATCTATAAAATTAACATATTAGCACCTCCTCAGAGGTTTTGCCAGCTTTTTACACAAAAGTTTTTTCTTTTATTTTTCAACCCTATGAGCTTATTTTTGAAAGGCTTTGTTTACTGTATCAAAATAAACATAATTCACATTTCTATTTTAATTCTCACTCAAACCTCTTATTATCATGAGGTAGCTGGTGTTACCAAACTAGATTATTTAATTCTAACCAACAGCGATGAGACTTTACATATTAGCTAAGTGTGAGATGTTATGTTTTGTTTTGTTTTCAAATATCTGAGAACAACCTAAAGATACCAATTACCATCTGATGGGAATCATTTTAGAATCTTTGATTAAATACTCTCCAGATTCTAAGGTGTAATTTTCAGTAATTTTCACTAGCATGAGAGGAAAATTTGAGAATCTTCTGCCTTTTGCCCTCAAAGGATGCAAGTATTATCACTTATCCAAACAAATGTAAAAGGAAACTCAAGCTTAGTGAAAACTTTGAACCTATTTCTAATATGTGTTAATTTGAGAATGAAAGCAGTATTAATGTGCTCCATCTTTATATCTCTCATAGCAGTAGCCTCGTGAACCATGTAGATTCCAAATTAATATAAACATCAACCTTTA